TTTATTAATAAAATGAAAGTGCTTACCAAACCCGGCAATATCCAGAACGCCGATGTAAGACACGCTGTCACCGAATGGAATGCACTTATTAATACGGGCAACGATGGCATCAAATAATCTACTATAAACGGCTTTTGCAAGCGCATCACGAGCAGCCGATGCTTCATACGGCTTTAGTGGCACCCTAAAGTTTAGATGATACAAGCTGATCGCCCGAACATATGTGGGACACGTTGATATTGCTCACAACAACTGTTTTAAGCTGTAGCAACTGAAAAGTAACCTTAACGAAAACGCTGAAAGTCTTAAAAACTACGAGGATTTATGCAGTAGCTAACCTTATAATGGTGCCTTTGTCGCCTCCTTTGACGGGCTGCATGATTCGAGTGGTCAAACCACTTTTCAGTTCGAAGTCGTCCAGACCAAGTAGTGACGCGGCATGCCGAAGCGAGACTTCATTGGACGGCTCGACCATGCATCCGCCTATAACAAAAACGCCAACGTTCTCCAAAGTGTATCTTGGAAAATCAACTGACGAATATCAAACTGTGCTGGAGATTTACCCTTGGAGTCAAAATAGTACACCAGGTGATAGATGTCAACAGAAAATTGATTAAAAATGCGGTTCCTTTTCTTCGAAGTCGAAAATACGGACTGGGAAAACAAAGTCCCAGCCGTAGCTTTTGGCCTCAGCACAAGTTTACCTTTAGAATCTTCGAGGTTTTCAATGAAATGAACATTGCCGAGATGGAGTACTGCAGCGACCACAGCGAATATAATGTTCACGTCTTGCTCGCTGAAACCAATGCTGCGCAGACCTTTTAGCAGTCTTTGAAAATCTGCATAATCGTCCACAAGCTCGTCGCGCAAGTCACCTCTCTAAATTAACACATATTACTTTAAAAATTTCATATTTTTTAAAATTTTCCAGACCACAAGATACGCAAAGACCTCCTGGCTTCATCCAGTGACGCAATCGGCCTCCGGACACAGGAAAAAAGATTCTCTGAATTCGATATCCACAGTCAAAGCTTGTCTTTCTTTGCACGGGTACCCAAACGCCTGGATTCAGGGTTTATTTTTGTTTTTTTTTTTGAAAAAAGGCCATGAGCCAGATTTTTGGTTTTTTTTTGTATCTTTGCGCTGTATTTGCGACATCTAAAAACACC